AGAAGGAAAGAGAGAAAGAAAAGGAAAAGACAGAACTGTAATGAACTACTATTATTAGGTGAAATGTACATACATGGTATTCAAATGGCATATTATTATTATTGTTATTGTTATTATTTTCAAAATTAACAAGTGCATGTAGATTATAATGTTTTAATATTATGGTCACAGCTAAATATGTGAAGACTCCACTTATATTTCGTATATAATGTGAGATTGATCACATGATTGACTGTTCACGAAACTGTAACCTTGTCTTGTCACATAGACAAGGTAAAAATATAAGCAAATAGCAACCCATCTGTATAATGTCTATTGAGATCATGGTGTACATGAGCCTAAGCAAGCAAAGCAATCTACAAATCTACATACAGTAGATCTTGATGTACTAATCTATGGTTGTGTCTTTATTGTATAATTATTTATGCTAGCTAGTATGGCATGCAGGTTCACTGTGAGAGATTATATTGGCTTGAGTTGACTTTATCCCCAAATACTGATTGTTAATAATCAAGTATGCAATACAAGCTCAGATTGTGTGGAACTGATATTTATGAGTTCTGTGATGTCCCTACATGTGTCTATTAGAACAAGACGGAAGTGAGTGCAACAATTCAGTTCTCTGCATATTCTATATAATAAGGTAATGATCTGTAATGATGGATTCTTTATTAGTTTGTGTTGATATCATTCATGGTTGTTGTTGGCTTTGTCATTTGAATATTTTAATTATGAGCAACTAGTAGATCCCCTCTAATTGATTTTATCAGCAATCCAGTTTACTTGTACAACTAAGCTTATTTATTGTGAATAAAAACAATGCAGAATGTTAATATAAAGCTAATCTAATAGATTTGGTATAATCAATGATAGTTTTGATAGTATAGATGGGATTTACCATTTATGGATTTCCTTACAATAACAGAGAAAAGGGGTGGACTGGGTTATGGATGACAGGAAGTAACCTGAAAAGTTGAATTGATGTCTGTCATTTCTGAAGTGGACTAAATCAACTCATGGTACATAAAATTTTATTATAATAATAAATATTATTATTGATTGGACTATTACTTTTGATTTACAGGAACAGGTAAATAGATCTAATCCTAAAAATATTATGAGTATTATACTTGTTCATTTTTATCTGATACTAAAAACACAAAATCTTCTTTGCAACACAATAGGAAGTAAGTACTAATCTATTTTAATTGGAGATGATTTTTACATGTGTATTTATTGTCCTTTCTATTTTTAATTTCCTTCAATCATCAAACTCTTCTTTATAACACAATAGATAGTAAGCACTATAATCTATTTTAATTTGAGATGTTTGTTTACATGTGTATTTATTGTCCTTTCTATATTTAATTTCCTTTGTTCATCTGTGATACACAAACTCTTCTTTGCAACACAATAGTCTGTAAGTACTAATCTATTTTAATTTGAGATGCTTGTTTACATGTGTATTTATTGTCCTTTCTTTAATTTCCTTCGTTCAACTACGATGCACAAAATTTTCTTTGCAACACAATAGGAAGTAAGTACTATAATCTATTTCAATTTGAGATACTTGTTTACATGTGTATTTATTGTCCTTTCTATCTTTAATTTCCTTCGTTCATCTGTGATACACAAACTCTTCTTTGCAACACAATAGCAAGTAAGTACTAATCTATTTTAATTTGAGATGCTTGCTTACATGTGTATTTATTGTCCTTTCTATCTTTAATTTCCTTCGTTCATCTGTGATACACAAACTCTTCTTTGCAACACAATAGCAAGTAAGTACTAATCTATTTTAATTTGAGATGCTTGTTTACATGTGTATTTATTGTCCTTTCTATTTTTAATTTCCTTCAATCATCGAACTCTTTTTTATAACACAATAGATAGTAAGCACTATAATCTATTTTAATTTGAGATGTTTGTTTACATGTGTATTTATTGTCCTTTCTATATTTAATTTCCTTTGTTCATCTGTGATACACAAACTCTTCTTTGCAACACAATAGCAAGTAAGTACTAATCTATTTTAATTTGAGATGCTTGTTTACATGTGTATTTATTGTCCTTTCTATTTTTAATTTCCTTCAATCATCGAACTCTTTTTTATAACACAATAGATAGTAAGCACTATAATCTATTTTAATTTGAGATGTTTGTTTACAAGTGTATTTATTGTCCTTTCTTTCTTTAATTTCCTTCGTTCAACTATGATACACAAAATTTTCCTTGCAACACAATAGGAAGTAAGTACTATAATCTATTTCAATTTGAGATACTTGTTTACATGTGTATTTATTGTCCTTTCTATCTTTAATTTCCTTCGTTCATCTGTGATACACAAACTCTTCTTTGCAACACAATAGCAAGTAAGTACTAATCTATTTTAATTTGAGATGCTTGTTTACATGTGTATTTATTGTCCTTTCTATATTTAATTTCCTTCGTTCATCTGTGATACACAAACTCTTCTTTGCAACACAATAGCAAGTAAGTACTAATCTATTTTAATTTGAGATGCTTGCTTACATGTGTATTTATTGTCCTTTCTATCTTTAATTTCCTTCGTTCATCTGTGATACACCAACTTTTCTTTACAACACAATAGTTGGTAAATACTAATCTATTTTAATTTGAGTTGCTTGTTTACATGTGTATTTATTGTCCTTTCTATTTTTAATTTCCTTTGTTCATCTGTGATACACAAACTCTTCTTTGCAACACAATAGCAAGTAAGTACTAATCTATTTTAATTTGAGATGCTTGTTTACATGTATATCTATTGTCCTTTCTATATTTAATTTCCTTTGTTCATCTGTGATACACAAACTCTTCTTTGCAACACAATAGCAAGTAAGTACTAATCTATTTTAATTTGAGATGCTTGCTTACATGTGTATTTATTGTCCTTTCTATTTTTAATTTCCTTCGTTCATCTGTGATACACAAACTCTTCTTTACAACACAATAGATAGTAAGTACTAATCTATTTTAATTTGAAATGATTGTTTACATGTGTATTTATTGTCCTTTCTATCTTTAATTTCCTTCGTTCATCTGTGATACACAAACTCTTCTTTACAACACAATAGCAAGTAAGTACTAATCTATTTTAATTTGAGATGCTTGCTTACATGTGTATTTATTGTCCTTTCTATCTTTAATTTCCTTCGTTCATCTGTGATACACAAACTCTTCTTTGCAACACAATAGCAAGTAAGTACTAATCTATTTTAATTTGAGATGCTTGCTTACATGTGTATTTATTGTCCTTTCTATCTTTAATTTCCTTCATTCATCTGTGATACACAAACTCTTCTTTGCAACACAATAGCAAGTAAGTACTAATCTATTTTAATTTGAGATGCTTGCTTACATGTGTATTTATTGTCCTTTCTATCTTTAATTTCCTTTGTTCATCTGTGATACACAAACTTTTTATTACAACACAATAGTTGGTAAGTAGTACTAATCTATTTTAATTTGAGTTGCTTGTTTACATGTGTATTTATTGTCCTTTCTATCTTTAATTTCCTTTGTTCATCTGTGATACACAAACTCTTCTTTGCAACACAATAGCAAGTAAGTACTAATCTATTTTAATTTGAGATGCTTGTTTACATGTGTATTTATTGTCCTTTCTATTTTTAATTTCCTTTGTTCATCTGTGATACACAAACTCTTCTTTACAACACAATAGTTGGTAAGTACTAATCTATTTTAATTTGAGATGCTTGTTTACATGTGTATTTATTGTCCTTTCTATTTTTAATTTCCTTTGTTCATCTGTGATACACAAACTCTTCTTTACAACACAATAGCGAGTAAGTACTAATCTATTTTAATTTGAGATGCTTGTTTACATGTGTATTTATTGTCCTTTCTATATTTAATTTCCTTTGTTCATCTGTGATACACAAACTCTTCTTTGCAACACAATAGTCTGTAAGTACTAATCTATTTTAATTTGAGATGCTTGTTTACATGTGTATTTATTGTCCTTTCTTTCTTTAATTTCCTTCGTTCAACTATGATACACAAAATTTTTTTTGCAACACAATAGGAAGTAAGTACTATAATCTATTTCAATTTGAGATGCTTGTTTACATGTGTATTTATTGTCCTTTCTATTTTTAATTTCCTTTGTTCATCTGTGATACACAAACTCTTCTTTGCAACACAATAGTCTGTAAGTACTAATCTATTTCAATTTGAGATGCTTGCTTACATGTGTATTTATTGTCCTTTCTTTCTTTAATTTCCTTCGTTCAACTATGATACACAAAATTTTTTTGCAACACAATAGGAAGTAAGTACTGTAATCTATTTCAATTTGAGATGCTTGTTTACATGTGTATTTATTGTCCTTTCGTTTTTTAATCTCAAAACTTTAATTTACAACAAAAAGGCAGTAAGTGCTGGTTTATTCACAATTTTGTCATAATTTCTTTTAATTTTATTTTCTGGTCAAAAATTTTATTTGCAACATGACAGGAAGTAAGCATTTAATGTTAAACAATTGTTATTACTTTTTCATGTGTTGTAGAGAAGTGAGTCTATTATTACTAAGCTAATTGTCTAGCTGTTTTTATTCAAGATGCTGCATACAGAAGAGCTCTATCAGAAGGAGAGGTGGTGAATGTTGCTTATTCACGTGTTCTTTTTCTGGGTACAGCAGGTGTTGGGAAGAGTAGTTTCAAGAATTCTCTTATGAAGTTACCATGGGATGCTAAGGCTAACAGTACCATCATATCTGATGTCAGCTGTGTTCGTCCCTTTGCTAAGGGATTGCTTAGTGATCAGTGGGAA